TTTTTTTCTGCTTCCACCAACTCCAAGAACAGACTGTTCGCTTGCTGCCTGATGTATTCCACCCACTGGAGCCATTATAACGAGATAATCAGTGTAACGATCGGTTTGTTCATCACTGTACACGGCTCGTTTTTCAGCCGTAAAACAGAACCCGACCAAGTCTCATCACCGGTTTTTACAGTCACCGTTTGTTTTCACCTGATGTGTGATTCAGGTTATTCTCAGACTTAAACCTTTAGTCCTGCAGCCCTCGCTCGAAACTATCAGCGGCCTTGAATCGCTGTGCCGCGAATTCACTGCGACCTTACAAAAAGCACAAGTTGTTCAGAAGTGTTTTTTTTTTTTGGATTAGAAAGAGAGACGAGCGCCACAGTTGTGATGTTGTTTAATCTCCTCCGTCCTTGGTAGTCTGGCAGCGTTGGAAGAAACGCTGATAAATGTAGCTGTAAACGTCCAAACATCTTCCAACAGTGTGTCTGAGCGCCACAGGGGAGCAATCAGTGTCTTACTTTTCACAGCCGCTCGCTGTCTTCTTGTGTTTCCGCCTCCGAGGTTTGTTCTTGATAGACTCGGCGACGCTGTGGAGGAAGAGCAAAGTGCAGTAAACACACTGATGTGTTCAAATCTGACAGATAAAATGTTCCTTTACTAACCTTTTATGATTTTGAAGCGGCTGTCGGGCTCTAGAGGCAGGAAATTATCTGCGTCATTTAAAAAAAAAATCTGTTTGCATTTGGTGTTTATTATGAAGACGTGCAGTGATTTTACCTGCATTCACATCCCTGGTGCTCGACGAATGTGAGTTCGACGCGTTGTGCAGATGTCATGGGGAGAATCCTCATCACCTGGAAAACAACATGAACAGAAACCGAATGTTTAGGCTTCAAAGTGACAAGTTCTAATGAAATGATGGTGCATAAACAAACTAGTCTGTCCTGTTTCAATCACTCAACAAATCAGGAGCTTAAACAAGTTTTTGAAGAATTAACACCTGGTGGAGACAAATTAAACTATCGAGCCAATTTAATTAATTTGCCGCAACTTGAATGCTGTTTTAAAAAGATTAACGCAGGAATCTCAGTTTTTAATTACACTCATTAAGTCACGGGTAATTGACAGCATTATTATTGCAACATAACTTTTCAAGAAGATCTAAATCAGTCAGGCAGAAAACAATGTTTGCAACTTGAAAGGTTTATCTGTAACAATAAATTAGATTTGTGTTTTGGCACGCATTCATTTAATTAACCTAAATTACTTATTAAAGTGTTAAAAACTACTGTTAATAATCTGGAAGCAAGAGTGTCAGACACAAACATTTTTAACTGATTTAATAAAATAAAATAAAAAACAAGTTGAGTTCTATGGCCACATGTTGTATAAGAATGAATTACTACTTTTAAAAATGCAGATTTTTGTTGTGGACATTATTTACAGTTTTGACCTATTTTGTACAGTTAACATGTAAATTAATACTTTCTTTTTGGGATTTTTATATGAGATATATTTTTGTAATTTAACAAACTTGGGAAACGTGCAAAATAACTGTTTCTCATTTTTCAATCCCTAATATACAGAATTTTATTTTCAAATAATATCAAATATNCCAAACAAGTCTATCAGCAGCAGGTAATTCCACGTATTTCACAGTAAAGCAGAGTTTTAAATCCAGTGTTTGTGCAGAGTTGAAGAGGAACACGATGAAGACAGAGAAGCGACAGCAGCTAGGAATATGGTGCACAAACGTACGTCGAAGAAAAGTTTCAGATTTTCCAGTTAAAAAGAGAAACTCGGCTTTTGTTGATAGTTCTTTTGTGGAGAACGGACGAAAAGGTCCAAACACGTTTAACATCACAGCTGTTATCGCTCATAACGCTGCCAATTTTTTAAAAAGAAATATCTCTTGTGCACTAATTTACAACTGGCTACACATATTCCTCAAAAAGAAGAAAAGAAAAAAGGGCAAAGAAAGGCACAAAGAGATTAACTGTAACACAAACTGCCCGTTTGACTTCATGTCAAAAGCAGTAAGTCAACAGAACAAATGGCTGCAAATAAAACTGCAGAGTCTGATATCGCTCTGGGGCTGAAATCGTTGGGGTTAAAAGTTCATCGAGTTCCACTTTAAAAAAAAAAACACACAAAAAATCATTTGTGCACAAAGCAGATTCGGCTGCTTCTTGGATTTATCTCTCAGATTCCATTTCAAAGCCTGAGCTGAACTCTGCCGCTGCATTTTTAATTCACACCTTTATCTCCAAATGCCAACAGCGACTCTGATTGAGGCGGATGCATACTGAGCAGCATCGATCAGCCACAGCAGCGCGTACGTGGTCTGAAACGGTGTTTGGGTGTCAAAGTAGCAACTGCATGAATGCAGGAGTCAAGGTTTTCCCCGCAGAAGCATCGAACTGCCTCCGCCGGCTCGACGTCTTCAACATCCTGCTGCAATCAAGACACTAAATGCTAAGTTTCCCCTTTGAAGACACCTAACGAGCAACTCAACTGTCACGTCAACTCTCCTTTCTGTTCCCTAAACGAGCGGTCTTGTAGAGCTGGATCAACAGGTGGATCGGAGGGGATGTAAAGCAAAAAGGAGGAAAAGCAAAATCAACTAGCTTTAAAAAAACACATGCTTATAGATTTTAGGTGTCTATGATTTATGAAAAGGTGCTTTTTTCCGACTAAACTTCTATTTCACTTCAATAAATGCTTCAATGATTTAATATCTCAGCAAAAAAATCAACAATAAGAGAAAAAGTCCAAAAAACTGAACTCCCATTTGTGATCAGAACTTTGTTTTTTTGTCTCTTGTTATTCAATATTTATGTTTAGAGCCTTTAGATTTATCTGTTCCACTGCTCAGCAACTATGTGAATGAGTGAATAAGAGACACACTGTAAAGCACTTTCTAGACCCTACAAAGACACCTCTCGGCCTCACCAAAGAAGCGTCACATCAGTAAGATTGTCCTTGCATTTTTCTTCA